ATTTGTATGTATGTATGCATGTGTATGTATGTATGTGTGTGTCCGCGTGTGTCTGTGTGTGTGTGTGTATGGATAATTCACTCAGAAACTATAGGAATCGCGATTCTGTGTATAATTTCTAATAAAAAATACTTCTTACTATATTTTCCAATTCTCCGGTGCCATGCAAACAGTGGTATGAAAATTACTCCATCTTCTGTAACTCCGCTTGACCATATCATATTCACACTTGAAATTTTCGGGAAAATTACAGAAGCCTAGCTTACCTTATATTCTTTTAAAATGAGAGATTCTTTATACTGCTTGTAGGTGATCCATGGGCCAAAGATCACCGTTGAGCCATCCAGCAAGTAGGAGCACAGATGCAGCAACGGGATATTTACATGCTTTTCACTGGCTAAATCAAACGAAAGTGAAGTGATTTTCATCACAACGATCATCAGAATACCGCGCATCGTCATGAACTTCTCCGCTTCAAACACATGTTGCCTGCAAGAAAGATTTATACCTTTCTTTATTATTCTTCCTTTTAAATTCTACAAACTTGTGCACTACCCAAAATTTTCTAAATTTTGTTTGGCAAAAGTTAATTCTGGACGTGGATGAGAACTCTGGATGCAGCAATTTTAGCCTTGAATAGAACACAGAAGTAGTCGGCTGTATCGGCGGTCATTACAGATAATGTGCGCGGTCCTTTGCTGCACTTTTCCACATCGAGGACGCCGTATGATGTTTCCGATTTGAAGTACAACAAAGGTTCCGCGAGTTAGCAGCTCATAAGCTGTAGTTGCATTTCGAAAAATCCACGTTATCCGATGGCATTGACTTTTTTTTGTTTGTCTGAGATTCTTACGGAATTTTGTCTTCCGGTTCTTATTTCGCTGTTCTCGATCAAGCCAAAAGTCTTGAGGTCACTGGGGCCCAGCGAATAACGACATATGAATACAAAAGGACAAAAAGGTAGAAAAAAAAACAACTAAAAGTAATAAATTAATAATAAAGTAACTGCTGAAAGTAAGCATCCGGTAAGGTAAAGGGTCAAAAAGACAAACTCACCAAACGAGAAGCATACCAATTGAATAAAACAGCATGATAAAGCCAAAATGCTTCCTCAACAAAATTTTGAAACATAACGGAGCAGCAGTCAACGCAATGTATGTACAAATTTGTGACCCATAATCGTTTCGTGTTCCGAGCACCATTAGACCAGAAAATATCAGGGTGATATGCAACTGAAGCTCGCTTATTAATCCTGAAAATAAATACTTTCTATAACCTTTGTAGTAACAAAACTACGGAATTTGAAAACAAAAAAAAACAGAAAACCAAGTAGAAATTATTAGCTTTCGAATGCCTTTATCTGTAATAATGACCGAAATTTGGAATGA